CTCTGGCCCAACGGAGGTTGATTTTTAAACAGACACCTACTGCTGATTTATTAGCACAGTAGAACCTCAGAGTTATGAACGCCAGAGTTACGAACTGACTAGTCAACCGCACCCCTCCTTTGGAATCGGAAGTGTTAAATGTAAAGTACTAAAAAAAGTAAAAGGAAAGCAGCATTTTTCTTCTGCATAGTAAAGCTTCAAAGCTGTATTAAGTCAATGTTCAGTTGTAAACTTTTGAAAGAACAGCTATAACGTTTTGTTCAGAGTTAGGAACATTTCAGAGTTACGAACAACCTCCATTCTCCAGATGTTTGTAACTCAACCTCTTACAGACGTTCCTGCGTGTCACACCCTCATTACCAGAGCAGCCAGAGTGTGCAAACACCATAACCGTGACATAATGTAGCATGAATTCATTTTATAACACTCCTCTGGGAAGTGACCTTCCTTCAGCAGGAATGAGTCTGGGTATGGGGGAATGCGGCAGCAGCGATACAACACCCGCTCACTTCTCTCAAAAGCAGTGATACAGCACAGAATACGGACTGTCATATTCCCCTGGGTTTGCTACACATATTCAACCGCTGAGAGATCTGGAGGAGTTTATTGCCCATGGCAGGGAGGAAGGGCTGTAGCTCGATTTAAGCCCATGGATTTATTCTTCTTATAATATTACAAAAATGAACTATAAGATCCGAACACCCACGGAGAGCAATGGAATCATGTAAGAGGAGTAATGCCACTAGAACTATGAGACAGATGCTTCAGAAGACACTGGTATGGGTACAAGTACCACGCTCTGTGCGGACGCTCAAAAGCAACAGTTTCCTCTGTGCAGACAGCCCCGCAGTGCTTACAGGGGTCAGGTTTTCTAGGCATTTCCTGGTTCCTGCTTTCTCAGCACTCCCAGGTTTTCCCCGCTGTAATTACACACAGGAGACTAGTTTGAAATTCCCCCTCGCCTCTCTCTCTCCCTGTCACCTACTGGCAATGAATAGCTGGCGTCAGGACGCATGAGGAAGCTGCCTCACCTTATTGACACAGTTGATCTTGGCACCGGCGTTCACGAGGATCTGAAGAACGCGCAGATGGCCAAACCAAGCAGAGAGGAGGAGTGCGTTCATTCCAAACTGTGCCAAAGGAAACAGAGCCATTTCCACCCTTCCCTGTGATAGCCCTTCCCTGCCCCGCCCGCTCCCCCAAACATTGCAGCGGGTCATCGGTCTTCAGAATGTCAAAGGAAATTTGAATGGAGATAAAAAATAAATAAATAAAATGTTTCAGTGTTTCCCCACTTTCTGGCCCAGCTCCCTGTCTCCTCACCAGCACCCTGGCTCTAAGTGCGAGCTACATCAGTGACTGCTAAGCAGCCTTTTGCCTCTAGGCTGGCATCTCATATCCACTGGCAGAAAGTTGTTCCCATCTGCTGGCTTGGTTTGCTGGGCTCCATTCGCTATCTAGCAGACGAGTCCCATAAACCACCAACTGAGCTGGTCCTCCCATGCAGCCTGGTTCACAGCCTCAGCAGAGAGGTGAAGGATTTCATGGCCCCTGAATGACCTTCTCACCCCTAGTGCTTTGAGACACAGTCAGAAGGAAGCTTGCATGGCTGATGCCCATGCTGCCTCCAGGGCTGCTGATCCCTTGCCTTCTCCCAGCACTACATTAAATGTAGGACAAATCCCCCGGCCCCAACCTCTGCAGACAACCTGCAACAGGCTGCAAAGGAGAGTCACACTCATACACTGTCTTTGTCGTCCACCGGGACTTCGTGCTCCAGCAGCAGCCGCACGGCTTGCTCGTTCCCGGCTCCAGCGGCCCAGTGCAGAGCAGTCCTGTCTGTCTGGAAAGGAGGAAAGGGAAAAGGAAGGTGGATACAAGCACAGGGTGAAATCCCACTGCAGCGGAGTCAATAGCAAAACTCCTATTGCCTCCAAGGGGCCAGGATTTCACCCACAGTGCATATTCACTCACCACCATGCATCTTGCACCATACGGTACTGTAATGAAACCGAGGACGAAGGGCAAGTGGACACCAGGGATTTTGCAGGTTCAGGGCTAGACCCTGGAATCTAAATGCAGGCAAAGCTCCCATTGCAATGCAAGGACTGTAGGATCGAGCCACTAGGGTCTTTGGGCCAATATAGCTCTATAGTGTGAGGAATCTAAGTCTTTGTTTTAAAAACAAGAGTGAGTTGGAAGTAAGCAGGGGGGGAGGGGTAGCTCAGTGGTTTGAGAATTGGCCTGATAAACCCAGGGTTGTGAGTTCAATCCTCAAGGGGGCCATTTAGGGATCTAGGGCAAAAATGTGTCTGGGGATTGGTCCTGCTTTGAGCAGGGGGTTGGACTAGATGACCTCCTAAGGTCCCTTCCAACCCTGATATTCTATGATTCAAGTAGGACTAATGGTAAATGCATGAGATCTCTCTGAAGGGAAACAAAGTTAGGGACAATCTCAACCTATGGGCTTCAGGGATAATTTTCCAAAGCATTTCTGTAAATATTTGGGAGGGACCCATTTGTTCATGCAGAGCCCCATCCAGTGAGTGAGTACAATTGGTTCTCGTGCTCTGGAATGGGGGCCTGGGCACATGTTGGAAAAGCCCACCCATAAAAGGAGTGGTACCGTCCAAAGAACAAGGTGCTCAGATTCTGCACTGAGGAGATCTATGGCAGCACCTGAATAGAGGGATGGATGGAACAAATCTTTAAGTATGGCCACAAATCTGAATTCCTTGTGCACCCAAATTTCCCACAGCTCTGCTGACCAGTGCAGGGGGAGTTCTGAGTGCGTGAGGAGTGTGGGATCAAAGCCTGTCTTTGTAGCTGCAACATACTCTGTGCATCGTCAACCAGGGAGACTGAAGCGACCTTCACTAGTAGTAAACCTCCTGAGACTCGACGTCATTTTTAGTTATAGCCCCTCAGAATCACCCTAATCAACTCCTCTCGTTCCACAGTGTTTACAGCTTTCAAATCCTTTTAGGCCGTGTGCCGTGGGGTGTTTGTGCCATACATGCCGTGAAAGGGTTAATATGGGCCCAAGAGGCCAATTAACCAGGCTGGGTGCTCCTGGAGGATGGGCCAGGCCTAATTAGAGATAAAGCCCAGCTGGGTGAGAGGGGAACTGGTTTTTTCCCCACCATGAAAAACTGGGTGATCCCAGTTGGCAGGGGGGAGACCAAGATGTGAAGTGACGTGGAGTGGAGAGTTTCCTCTCTCTGGGAAGCAGCCTGAACAAGGCTGAGAGGAGCAGACAGGCTACTCCAGGGGGTGAGCCGGAGCCTGAGTGGGGCCAGGGGCCCTGAGGAGCTGTAGCCTGCCTGAACCCTTGAGTGAGGGGGGAGTGTGCCAGCCCCTGTTCCCACGGGGTTCACCAAGGCACCGAAGCCTGTAGCTAGACAGGCGGCTGGCACAGAGCAGCAGCAGCACGTCTGTGACAAGATGGCTGTCAACTGAGCCCAGCCAGGCTAAAGGTTTGGTTCTGTTTACATGTGTTAGACTTAGGTGAAGGACTCTGTGGCCCCAGAAGTGGCCGTTCTTTGCAAAGTGCTGTGGCCGGAGAGCTAGGACACTGCTATGGCTGCAGTAGGCTAGACAGGCGGGGGAAACTGAGGCAAAGATGCTGCAATGCCACATCCAGCCAGGAGGGGTCGCGCTGGGGCAGCAACTTTGATACAGGGTGCAACTCTCTGGATTTCAATGCATTGAAGAATGTGCTCTACCATTGACTACTTGGCCCTGGGTTGGTGCTTTTACGCTTTGCCCAGAGGAGCAATTAATGAGGAGAGTAACGTTCTTTTGTGTCTGGAGACACAGTTTGGATGTTAACTGGCTGCAGCTCCGAGGGTCCCCTCTGCAGCTAGAGAGCAAAAGGCACCTACATTGTTTTTGGCTTTGACGTTAACCCTTGTCCTGATGAGCTCTTGCATCCTGGCTATGTCGTTCCGCTTTGCTGCATCGTGGAATTCTTTTTCTGAATGAAGCACTGAAGCACGAGAAAAGACAAGACAGGCAATACGGTAAGTGGTGGTGTTGAGCAGAAGCAAGAAGTAATTGCTGTTCCTGCTGAACGTTTCCTGCATCTCACTCACTCATTATAAATGGGTATTAGGAAGGATAATTCACTGGCTAGGTGTCTACCTCTCCTATTGCCTGCTGAAGTCCCAGCCCTCCAGACTTCAGTGTGTGCACAATGCTGCTCCCTGCCTTCCCACATGTACAGAAGCATGAATGCGTCACCCCAGTCCTCTTCCAGCTCCACCGGCTTCCCATCCATTTCAGGAGCCAGACTGAAATTGCCTTCCTGGTTTCAAAACCTGCCTCATGGGCTTGCTCTTGCCTATCTTGTCTCTCCAGTGCCCTTTGGCTCCCACTGTCAGTCAGCACTGGCCTTCTCTGTCCCTCCACACAGTCTCCTCCCTGTAGGCGCAAGGACCTTCTCCTCTGCAGTTTCTGCCATGAAGAACACGTCTCCTGTTCTTTGCAAACCTCAGCTGCAAACACATCCTTTCTTTCTTTCCCACACATCCCAATCTTGCTCTCCCTCGGCTGTTGTTTGTTCCGTCACTCTGTAATTGTCTTACTACCTTCATTTTGCTGCTGGGGAAACTGAGGCACAGAAAGCTCATGTGATTTGCCCAAGGTCACCTCAGCAGGTCAGCAGTAGAGATGGAAATAAGCCTCCTCCCCTCTTCATCCCCAGTCCCGTATCTCCGCTATAACCCCACGTTTCCTTTTCTAGGAAACGCCACTAATAACACATTAGTTAAGGTTATCCAACACTTCCCATTAGAAGACCCTGTTTCTCAATTGCTTATAACTTTGCCAAACTTTTAAGAGTTTAGTCTGAAATATATTGGGGAAAGTTTCAGCAAGAACAGTCCAGCTGCTCTGAGAATGAGATTGGGGGCAAAAATACAGCGTTTTGCCCACGTTCAAAAAATTCTTACAATCATTTGATTGAGAACCTCTAGCGCCTCCATGCTTTGGAGCAGGGGCTTGGAATTTGGCAGGGGGTCACCCTGGTGTCAGGGATGTGCCTTTGAATGTGATCATGCACAGGAACTCCTCACATAACGTTGTAGCTATGTTCCTGAAAAATGCGACTTTAAGCGAAACGATGTTAAGCGCCTGAAAAATGCGACTTTAAGCGAAACGATGTTAAGCGAATCCAATTTCCCCATAAGAATTAATGTAAATGAGGGGGTTAGGTTCCAGGGAAATTTTTTTCACCAGACAAAAGACTATATTTAATATATATATATATACACACACACACACACACACACACACACACACACACACACACACACACACACACAGTATAAGTTTTAAACAAACAATTTAATACTGGTACACAGTCGGGGCTGGCTCCAGGGTTCTTGGCAAGCTGGTGCCTGGAGCCAGTCCTGTACACAGTGATGATGATTGTGAAGCTTGGTTGAGGTGGAGGAGTCAGAGGGTGGGATATTTCCCAGGGAATGCCTTACCGCTAAATGAACTAGCAATTGACTGAGCCCTCAAGGGTTAATTCTCACAACACTCTACAAGGCAGTGGAAAGGAGGGAGGGCAGACAGAGACACACCCCCCCTATACATAGAATGCTTCCGCCGACATGCACAGGCAGAAATTGTGGAAAAACAACATCGCTTGCCTCATAACCTAAGTCGTGCAGAACGCAATGCAATCCACAGCCTCAGAAACCACTCTGACATTATCATCAAAGAGGCTGATAAAGGAGGTGCTGTTGTCATCATGAACAGGTCTGACTACCAGAAGGAGGCTGCCAGACAACTCTCCAATACCAAATTCTACAGGCCACTTTCCTCAGATCCCACTGAGGAATACACTAGGAAACTGCACCATCTACTCAGGACACTCCCTACACTAACACAGGAACAAATCAACATACCCTTAGAGCCCCGACCGGGGTTATTCTATCTACTAACCAAGATCCACAAACCTGGAAATCCTGGACGCCCCATCATCTCGGGCATTGGCACTCTCACTGAAGGACTGTCTGGATATGTGGACTCCCTACTCAGACCCTACGCCACCAGCACTCCCAGCTATCTCCGTGACACCACTGATTTCCTGAGAAAACTACAATGCATTGGTGACCTCCCAGAAAACACCATCCTAGCCACCATGGATATAGAGGCTCTCTACACAAACATCCCACACACAGATGGAATACAAGCTGTCAGGAACAGTATCCCTGATGATGACACAGCACAGCTTGTTGCTGAGCTCTGTGACTTTATCCTCACGCACAATTATTTCAAATTTGGTGACAATATATACCTCCAGACCAGTGGCACCGCTATGGGCACCCGCATGGCCCCACAATATGCCAACATTTTTATGGCTGACCTGGAACAACGCTTCCTCAGCTCTCGTCCTCTCACGCCCCTTCTCTACCTACGCTACATTGATGACATCTTCATCATCTGGACCCATGGGAAGGAGACCCTGGAAGAATTCCACCATGATTTCAACAGCTTCCACCCTACCATCAACCTCAGCCTGGACCAATCTACACGGGAGGTCCACTTCCTAGACACCACAGTACAAATAAGCGATGGCCACGTTAACACCACCCTATACCAAAAACCCACCGACCGCTACGCCTACCTTCATGCCTCCAGCTTCCACCCCAGACACACCACACGATCCATCATCTACAGCCAAGCGCTCAGGTACAACCGCATCTGCTCCAACCCCTCAGACAGAGACCAACACCTACAAGATCTTCACCAAGCATTCTCAAAACTACGATACCCACACAAGGAAATAAAGAAACAAATCAACAGAGCCAGACGTGTACCCAGAAGCCTCCTGCTACAAGACAGGCCCCAAAAAGAAACCAACAGAACTCCACTGGCCATCACCTACATTCCTCAGCTTAAACCTCTCCAACGCATCATCAGTGATCTACAACCCATCCTGGACAATGATCCCTCACTTTCACAGACCTTGGAAGGCAGGCCAGTCCTCGCCCACAGACAACCCGCCAACCTTAAGCATATTCTCACCAGCAACCACGCACCGCACCATAACAACTCTAACTCAGGAACCAACCCATGCAACAAACCTCAATGCCAACTCTGCCCACATATCTACACCAGCAACACCATCACAGGACCTAACCAGATCAGCTACAACATCACCGGCTCATTCACCTGCACGTCCACCAATGTTATATATGCCATTATGTGCCAGCAATGCCCCTCTGCTATGTACATCGGCCAAACTGGACAGTCACTACGCAAGAGGATAAATGGATACAAGTCAGATATCAGGAATGGCAATATACAAAAACCTGTAGGAGAACACTTCAACCTCCCTGGCCACACAATAGCAGATGTAAAGCCATCTTACAGCAAAAAAACGTCAGGACCAGACTCCAAAAAGAAACTGCTGAGCTCCAGTTCATTTGCAAATTTGACACCATCAGATCAGGATTAAACAAAGACTGTGAATGGCTATCCAACTACAGAAGCAGTTTCTCCACCCTTGGTGTTCACACCTCAACTGCTAGCAGAGCACCTCACCCTCCCTGATTGAACTAACCTCGTTATCTCCATACTGATTTATACCTGCCTCTGGAAATTTCCATTACTTGCATCAGAAGAAGTGAGGTTCTTACCCACGAAAGCTTATGCTCCCAATACTTCTGTTAGTCTTAAAGGTGCCACAGGACCCTCTGTTGCTTTTTACAGATTCAGACTAACAGGGCTACCCCTCTGATACTTGACACCCTGTGTGTGAGAGAAAAAATGCGCATTTCCCCTTTAAGTAGCTGACCCCAGGCTTAAGTACACGGCCTTGTTAATTAAATCAGCTTGCTGAGACCTGAGACCACAGCTACTGCCTAGAAGCTCCCTTCCTCCCTCCTGTGTCCCCCCTGCTTTATGGAAGATGGGGTAAGCAGGGTGCAGGAGCGGGGGGAGGGGGAGACGCCCTGACATTAGCCCCTCTCTTCCCCCCTCCCCCCGTATAGCAAGCAGGAGTCTCTGGGAGCAGCTCCAAGGCAGAGGGCAGGAGCAGCACATGGCAGTGGGGGGAGGGACAGCTGCTGTACAGGGAACTTAGTGGACTGGGGAGCTGATAGAGGGAGCTGATGGGAGGCTGCTGGTCCACCCTGGTTCCAACCACCCACCAGCTAGCTGCAACGGGCTGCTCTTCCTGCAAGCAGCGGACAAAACAGGCGGCTGCCAAATGACTTCGAAGGGAGCATTTCACAACTTTAAACGAGCCTGTTCCCTAATTGATCAGCAACTTAACATCGAAACAACGTTAACCGGGATGACTTTAAGTGAGGAGTTCCTGTAGTTAAAGACTGTATCATATGCACATGTAGGGGCTGAATTAAGGTTGCACGGGCAACCTTAATACTGGCGTATCCTAACCTCTGAGTGCTTGACGTCACAACCTTGATGTTCTTTTAATGTAGTTTTCAGATGTAATTAAAATAGAAAGACACTGCTTTTTACTGACACCTAGGCTCCTTTACACTGCTGTAAAGAGGTCTTAAAGTGAGTGTAAATTAGTTATGTTCACTTTAAGGCCTCTTTATATGGCCAGATCAAAGTAAAGGGGCCTTAGGATTAATAAGAATCTGGCCCCTTGTCTTAATTAAACAGTAACTGCTTTAGGGCGAACGTGAGTCAGCAGCATTGCATAGTACAGAGAGGTTCCTTATGTATCTCCTAGCATGGGCAGGGACTAGTTTTTAAATATGTTAATAGACTATGGTTATTGCGAACGTCACTTCTGCTAAGAATAACTGCACTAATCCTGCAGCGCTAGGAGCGAGTTAAGTGGCTTTACTTTTCAGACGGGGCACTGGGTTAACACATCACCCCGGTTCCCTGCTTTGTTGAATAAACCTTCCTGCTAACTAATGAGATCAAACCCCAGTTCTGGATTCTGCCTCTTTCCAGCGTGTTTGACAGAGACGCTCTACAGCTGGATTTGTATCGAGGAAACGTTTTTGGCCATTTTGCAGAGGGTTTTTTTTTCCTTGATCCGATTCTGTCTCTGCCCCTGCTCTTCCAGTGGAACTCCTCTGACAAGTTATTAATTCAGACACTAAACCCGTTTCAGCAGACTGTGGATCCAGCTTGGCCGCTCTGCACTGTTCTTCTTTTGCCCCTTAATAGTACAGTGAAAACGCTTAGTATAGAGTGATGGTCTCAACGGCCCACCTTGCCATCCTTCTGCTATTCGGGATTCACAGATTTCTGGGGGCCGCTTTTTTCACTTCAGATGCAGATGTTGCCTCCTGAACTTCCTCGTCAGAGGCCAGATCATCCCCTCTGACATTGATGGACAAGGAATCCACCTCAAATCTATTGTATAGCAGCCTCCCCTCAAAACCCCCCTTCCATGAACTCTGCACTGTTCGAGTCCCGTTAGCTGGCTGAGCAGGAATGGGACAGAGCCATGAGCATCCGCTTCCACTCTGTACCTCCTCGCACCTGGAGAGGGGGAACATGTTCTGGGCTCAAGTTTTCACGTGTTCCATCTCCAGACCTGGACCATTG